CAAGCATTTACATTCACTCTGCTATTGAGGTCAAGGGCCCACCACCACTAGACTAGGACTGTGCGAACCTTCCTGAGGTGATCCTGGTTACGATCAACTTCTGATCGCAGCACTTGGAACGAGATAAATGCGACAGCAAAGGGTGGAACCCAGCCAATTTAAATGGTGACAATAAGGATGCTGATAGTGACAGGAAGACATCTAGGGCATGTCAAACATTGACCACCATCCAGGTACAAAGACAGGAATAACCACACCCCCCCACATTCCAGCAATAAGCACTGCATCTACCGTCCGCTTTCACTCACTCTCCCCTTCCAACCGATCCATTTCCTAGTTCCCTACCATCGACACATCCACTCTCCAGATTTGGAATCTTGGAAATTGTATCATACACAGAATGCACAAGTTTCGGGCATGCAGTGACCAGGAGAGTCCTGAGGCTGGTGAGACAGCTAAAGGACTGAGGAACACTCATCAGTTTAGGCCATGAACTGATAGTCAGCCGCTGCAGCTATGAAAGGTTTGCCATCTCATCTGGAAGCCCGTACAGGTCCGGAAGGCCAAACAGGAGCAGGCCACCCAAGCTCAAGAGTCGTAAGGCTGCTCCAATGCCGAAGGAGGGATCGAGACACTGTCTCAACTTTGTCGCAGTAGTTGAAGGAAAAATTGCGAAGATTGGAGAGCTTGGAGAGGGTATCAGGAAGGTGGATAAGGCTTCCGAGTTGGCTCAGCTCGAGATGCTCAAGCGAGGACAGGCGATCCATATTTTGTGGTAAGTCCGTGAGCCCTGAGCAAGCCTTGAGGACCAGCATGCGGAGGTTAGAAAGATCGCAGAGAGAGTCAGGGAGCAAAACCAAGTCTGTATTATCTATGACAGTTAGCGTCTTGAGAGAACTTAAGCTTGACACTGCGTTTGGAAGAGATTCAAAACCTGGACATTCCACGAGCTCAAGAACTTGAAGAGAAGCAAGCTCGAAAAAAGAACTCGGGAATTCGGGTATGAGATTATACTCTAGGTAAACCTCTCGAAGGTTCCGAAGCTGGCCGATGGTGTCAGGAAGAGCTGTGATGCCGACATAACGAATGCTAAGTTTGACCAGTGACTTCAGCCCACCAATCGAGTCAGGTAAAAGATCGAACCCACTCGAGCCTTTTAGTAACTGCAGCTCGGTCAATCTAGTGAGCTGGGCGATTGATTCGGGGAGGTAGTCATTGCACAGAAGGGTGAGTGTCAGCTTAGTCAGGGGTCTTAGCTTGTCGAATTCATCTGGCAAAAAGGCCAAGTCGAAATCTAGGTTGACCTCTGTCAAAGATGAAAGGCCGAAGAAGGATGGTGGCAAATCACAACCGTCTTCGTAGACTGACATCATGGTAAGCGAGAGGTACTGCAACGCAGTGCAGGCTGTGAAGATGGCATCTAAGCCTTCATACGTCAACCCAGGTTCGTCTCCGTTGTTCAGGTCAAGATAAGTTAACCTTGGACAGGCGGATCCTAGGCCATGGAGGAAATCGTCATCGTCTGGGTCAAGCACGCATTTGTTGATCGTGAGAGAAGTCAGATGTTTGAACCGGGAAAGGGATTCTAAAAGAGCAGCACCTGCTGTAAGGCTGGGAGACCTGTTGGCGATTGACGTCTGTGCAAGGTAAGCGATGCGATTCCAACGTCTACAGACAATAGCATGATTGAAGTAGCTGGGTGACTGCTTGTTCAGACAACGGAAGATGAGGCAGATGGGGTCGTCTGGCAGCTGATTCAACGACACTCCTAACACAGGTCTATGTCGATGCGGGGTTGGGGCTAGGGACAGTAAATCTCCTTCAGCACCGGACATTGTTCGCACGTCGCTGTGAACTATGACCAACTAAGCGAAAGGAAATCTAGACTTTAAAGCCCGCGTCTCATATTTCACAACTCCCAACCAAGTGTAATACGCTTGAAACCGGGTAACCACTCAAGCTGTCGCAACTTTGTTGGGTTTGGTTGGGAGCACTTGCGATTGGCTGCAGCCCCAACAGGCTGGGCAAGGCAGGTGCACGACTACCGAACTGCATTCGCGCGAAACACACCACCAAGTGCGACGAAGGCAGAGCACACAGGGACCAAACGTAATACCACAGCAGGAATAATATGAGACAGTTGAGCAACCACTTTTCATTCCAGCCCCAGTCAATTTCCAACAACTTAGTTTAGCCTAGGGTTTGTTCATGGCTGTTCAGTACTATTTTGTACAAAATTTCACGCAGTTCTGCAGTGTTCGGACGGCTCATCGTATCGGTCGATCGTAAGGCTATTGCCTTACGCGAAAACCAGGAGGAAGAAGCGGTACAAATAGAATGTAAGGGATTGCATAGCAATAGCATATCCGCACGCGCGACAAGGGACGAAAAACGACGGAATGAACGATACGCAAAGGGACGCGACGGGACGGGAAGGGATGCGACGGAAGGGGAAGGGACGCGACGATGCGGGAAGAGACGTGACGGGACTGGACAGGACGCGACGGGACTGGACCGGGCAGGACGGGACCCGATGGAACGGGGGGGGGACTCGACGGGACAGGACGTGACGGGACGGGAGAGACGGACGGGATGGACGCGACGGAACGAAATGGGACTTGAAGGGACGGGAGGAAAAGGGAGGAGACGCGCCGAAATTGAGGAGAACCTCTCCCTTCCTCCATACCTCTCTCCCTTCTCCGCATCCCCCTTCCCTTACCCCATCTCCCTGTCCCTTCCCCCATACCTCTCTCCCGTCTCCGCATCCCCCTTTACCTTCCCTTCCCCCATACATCTCTCCACTCCCTCCCTTTCTCTCCCTTCTCCGCATCCCCCTTCCCTTACCCCATCTCCCTCTCCCTTCCTCCATACCTCTCTCCCTTCTCCGCATCCCCCTTCCCTTACCCCATCTCCCTGTCCCTTCCCCCATACCTCTCTCCCGTCTCCGCACCCCCCTTTCCCTTCCCTTCCCCCATACATCTCTCCACTCCCTCCCTTTCTCTCCCTTCTCCGCATCCCCCTTCCCTTACCCCATGTCCCTGTACCTTCCCCCATACCTCTCTCCCGTCTCCGCATCCCCCTTCCCTTACCCCATCTCAGTTTCCTTCCCCGCAATCCCCCCTTCCCTTCCCCATCCCCCTTTCCCAGCCCAATTTCCTCCTTTCTCCCCCTTGCATCCCCTCCTTTCACCCCCCCTGTATTCCCTCCTTCCCCCCCTTTATTCCCTCCTTCCCCCCCCTGTGTATTCCCTCCTTCCCCCCCCTGTGTATTCCCTCCTTCGCACGTCGCTGTGAACTATGACCAACAGGTTAGGGCGGTAGGTTTGGTGTTTAGGGTACAGTGTTCTGGTTTCGCCCGAAGTCACCCCTCCTCTCGTGCAAAACTTCGCTGCTCGTGCACCAATCCCAGGCGCCAACACCCAACCAAGTGTAATACGTTAGAAAATCTGAGACGCGGGTTTTAAATGGAAGAGAATAGGAATCTGGACCTAGGGTAGTAAAGCAGCGGCGCAGTCGCCATAAAAAGCTGGAGCTAGGAGCTTGCGAGCTTGGCAAAACCCACACACTAGGGGCACACACTGGGGTTGCGCCTGGATCTGTCTGCCTTAGGGTTCGCTGGGTTTACTTTCGACTTGTGTTACCTTTCGTTCAGTGCGTTGCGAGTGAATGTATGTGGACAGACGAAGCCCAAGGCCTGAATCTCATCGGCTGTGCAGGTGGTTCGCTTGGCTCAGCAATATCCATGTCTAGGGAATGAGCCTTGTTTCCCTACCACAGCATTCGCGTAGTTTCGCCTCGTCTTTTCGCTGTCGCTCGTAGGTTTCGTTCGTCAGGTTGCATATGTTTTTATTTCGATAACCATGCCGAAACCTCGTCACGAAAGCCAAGTTGGGTCCATCGAAATCCACTAACCGATTGGACAGGGAGTCAATACTCCATATAAAAAACATCATTTCCATCAGAAGAAATGGCAAGATTGCTTGCTCATCCCCCAGTATCTCTGCTTCACTTACCCTCCCAGCACTTGTGCCCTGCACTTCACTGATGAAGCTCACGTATTGAGAAGCTCATGCGCCAGGCATGCTTCCTCTGACACATAATTAAACACATTCCATCATGTTTGATTCTTTGTACACTAAAATGGTGGACTGGAGTCATATCAAAACAATGGTGCTAAAGATGAAACATCAGGTGACGAATCCCTTCTTGCCATGTGTTGAGTGCGGAATCTGCCTTCTCCCGCCTCTACCTCCAACCCCTCCAGCAGGTGTTTTTCTTGATGTAGAAGAACCCACCCACATAGCCCTCGTCATCCCCCTCCCCTCCCCACCTCCTCCTGCCATCCAGACAATGGTTCAGCTATCCTTGCAGTTTTGAAAAGGCCATCCATTCGTGTGGATCACCAACAGCCATGACCACTTCAGCTTCATCCGACTGACGAAAGGAGTCGGGTGATTGTGGCTGCCACCTCAGCAGCATCGACAGCCATGGCCACTGGCACTGGCGGCACACCCACCCATGGGTTGGGACCGTTCCAACTGATGGGATGCAGGAGGGAAGGGAAAGGAAGGAGGACGTGCATTCAAATAGGTGCCTTGAGAGTACACTTTCGCTGGCGGCACCCCACCCCCGGGTTGGGGCCGTTTCAACTGATGGGAGGTGGGAGGGGGGGAGGACGTGCATGGTTTGAGCTGCCTAAAAAAACACACTTGCACTGGCGGCACTCCCGTCCATGGGTTGGGACCGTTCCAAGTGACGGGAGGCCGGAGGGAGGACGTAGGGGCAGGTGGGATAACAGAAAACGCGCAAAATTAGTGTGCAGCGTGCGATGATGCAAGGGGGAGGCAGAACAGCATAGAATCCATTTCCACACCCCGTTCAGACCAGCCCAGATCGTTAGTTGTCACTGAGATGAGCGGAACAAGAAACGCGCATTGCACTCTCAATTAACCCGTATATTACCACCTCATTGCTGAACGTGCACCTGAAAGATTAAGTCACTCACTTCTTGAGCGAGTAGTCCATGAGAGTGCATCCCCGACCCAACCCGGTGCACTCCACGCGCACGCTGCCTCGCTTGAAGGAGAAGAGTGAGGGGGATATGATCGCTGCCACTGCACACGCGTCATGCAGGAAGATTCCTGGAAGGCGGAAAGCGGGGCGAAGGTGAATGAGTGCACAAAAGGCAAAGCAATGGCCAGATGTAAGAAAGAGGGGATGCAACGGAGGGAAGCTAAAGCAGTGTAAAGTGCACCCAATCCACCATAACCCACCACACCCCACCACAACCCATCACAACCCACCACAACCCACCACAACCCACCACAACCCATCACAACCCACCACAACCCATCACAAAGCACCACATCCCACCATTACCCACGCACCATCCATGTGGTCGGACTGCTGGTGGTGGGCCCTGTATGCATTCACCAGGCGTGCCACCAGAGATGCTTCTGGTGGTGTGGCTGAGCAAGAACACACACACCCCACCACACCCCACTACACCCCACCACACGCCACACACCGTCCATGTGGTCGGACTGCTGGTGGTGCCCCCTGTACGCGTGCACCAGGCGCGCCACCAGAGACGCTGCAGGTGCTGCTGGTGCTTATGAGTAAGCAGTGCTGCTCTCACCTGCCACCAGTGCACAGCAGCAGGAACAAGAACACACACACCCCACCACATCTGACCACACCCCACCACAACCCACAACAACCCACGCACCGTCCATGTGGTCGGATTGCTGGTGGTGTCCCCTGTATGCGTGCACCAGGCGCGCCACCAGAGATGCTTCTGGTGCAGGAGAAGTTGCGTGATCGCTCTCGCATGCCTCTCGAGACGCCTCTGCTGCTGACGACGCAGTGGCATGCTCGCCCTCGCCTGCTGCTGGAGTGGATGCTGTGTCTTGCGCGCACAAAGAGGCAAGGTCTGTGCCTGGCGGGCAGAAGGGGTGAGCAGAGGGCGAGACATGGAAACGATAAAAGGGGCGATCTAAGCTGCTGCTGCTGAGGACGCAGTGCCGTGCTCGCTCCCGCCTGCTGCTGGAGGGGCTGCTGTGTCTTGCGTGCACAGGGAGGCAAGGTCTGTGCCTGGCGGGCAGAAGAAGGGGTGAGAGGGAAGGAAGGTGTGGTTCAGAAGAAGGAGCAAAAGAAGAGGTCATAAGGGGCAGCCAGAATGGGGCTGATCTGTTGGCCGTACCACACTGGCCTGGCCTGGGCCCCTACTGGTGTGACCTTTGAGTCGACGCAAAAGTCTACACGTCAGCAGCGCCCTGATCTGTTATCCGTACCGCACCGGCCTGGGCCCCTAGTGTCTGTTGTAGACACTATTATGGTAGCATGCGTATCAGCAAAACACCAGTGCGTGCAATGCGCGTGGTAACATGCACGTTGTGAAGGAATAATTCGCAACACAGCTGTGAGTGTGACTTGCGTGGCGCCACTCGTCAGCACCTGGGCCGCTGTTCCATAACACACATCGCCCTAGGCCCTTACTGGTTCGATCAGTAACTAGTCTAATAGCGTGCACAGCTCCAGCACACCAACACACCTGTGAGTGTGACCTGCGTGGTGACGTTGAGTCCCAGCACGTGGATGTTGGTGCCACTCGTCAGCACTTGGGCTGCTGGTCCTTAACACATCGCCCTAGGCCCTTACTGGTGAGATAAGTAACTAGTCTAAGAGCATGCGCAGCTGACCTGTCAGTTTGACCTGTGTGGTGACGTTGAGTCCCAGCACGTGGATGTTGGCTCCACTCGTCAGCACGTGATCAGCGGCCTCAGGGTCTGCAAACACCTGCCGTGGAGAGGAGCAGAGGGGGGCAGAGGGGGACGGAGAGGGGCAGAGAGGGGCGGAGAGGAGTCTCAGCACTAGCGGATGTTGGTGCCCCCTCTGTCATGTCAGCATCTGGCCCTCTGCCTCGGAATCTTCAAAGAGGGTGAGAGACAAGGGTAGCAGCGGGGAGAGGCGAGGGGAGAGGCCGGGTGGAACAACCTCGAGGTTTGCAAGCACCTGCAGTGCCGGGGGGGAGAAGATGTGAAGATACACGCATAGTTGGCGATAGAGGAAGGGGAAGAGGAAGTGCAAGGGCAAGAGCAAGAGCAAGAGCCAGCGTAAGTCAAGTTTGTCACTGGTCAACCAGTCCGCCCTTCCTCACCCAACCACACACACATTCTCTCTCCCTACCAACAATATCGAGCTATCCCATCGCCCTACCCTTTCTTCCCCCCTTCGCTGCACCTCCCTCCTGCCACCCCCCACTCCCCCCAATACCCTTCGCCCCCCGCACTCACGCTCTCTTCTGCAGCCGCGTTGACATCCCCACTGGCGAAGAATGAACCTCCCACCACCCAGATGCCCGCCAACCCCACTGCACTCCTGAGCACCCCACCCAACCCACCAGCACTCACGCTCTCTTCTGCAGCGGCGTTCACATCCCCACTGGCGAAGAATGAACCCCCCACCACCCAGATGCCCGCCAGCTCCGATGCTAGCGAGGGACGTAAAGCAAGGGCCTGGTGGGAGGAAAGGTTGAAGGGGTGAAGGGGGGAGGGAAGAGGAAGAGCAGATGGGGGAGGAAAGGGGGGAGGGCGAGGTGGGTGCCAGCAGTGGGTGTTGCAAGTGGGCGAAGAAGGAACCCTCACCACCCAGATGGCCGCCAGCTCCGATGCTATGGAGAAGATAAGAGAGTTTAAGTAAAACAGCAATGGAGGGACGCTAGGAGAGGGCCTGCACTGTGTCAGGGATGCGTGGGATTCAAGAAGGGAGACGAGCAGAGTAGCGAGGGGAGGGAGGAGAGGGAGGTGAGGGAGGTGAGGGAGGTGGGGAGGGAGGATATGGGATGTGTGGGCACAAGGCCTCTCAGACTCCTGCAAGCACCTGCCTGCCTGGGCAAGGTTGGTTAAGGGTTCTGTACCTCGATCAGCCGCTCTGCCTGTTTTCCAACCTCTTTTCAAATCGACTCAAAAGTCATCTCGGTGCAACGGCACGCACGCAAAGCACGCTTGCCTGCGCGAGGTTGGTCATGGGTCCCAGCTGCACCACGGTGACCTGCGCGGGCCTCCTCACCACCTCCTTTCGAGTCCACACGAAGGTTACCTCGTTACAATGGCAGACGGCACAAGGCACTCGTGCAAGCACTCACCCGGGCGAGGTTGGTCATGGGTCCCAGCTGCACCACGGTGATCTGCCCGGGCCTCCTCGCCACCTCCTCACACATCCACTCCCACGCCCTCCGCTCCTCCGCCCCCTGCTCTCCCCCGTCCTTCCCCTCTCCATCCGCACCAGTAGCAGCAGTGGCAATACGAGTGGAAGCCAAGGTATCAGTGATGCCATTTGCGGGATCAACCTGTTGGACTGCAGGAATTGCGGAAGGCAGCTGCACTCCTGCCAGCCCGTCAGGGCCCAGAAACGAGGAGCATGCATTCAGGGAGGCAGGGGTAGGGGTGCTGCTGCAGCCGCTGCTGGTTGCGGTGGTCTCAGAGGCGTTTGCCTGTTGAAGAATAGAAACGAGTGGAAGAAAGGGGAGGCATGGTGCGGGGAAGAAAACGAGGGAAAGAAAGGGCAGGTGGAAGAGAAGGGACAAGGGGACAGGAAGACAGGAGAGTGGTTGCGAGGAGCGATAGAAAGGTGGTAGTGATGGTGGTGGTATTTTCGTAAGAAGGGCTTGGAATTTTAAGCAGGAAACAACACGAAAGGGCGGGGGGGAGGAGAGATACGGCATACAGGGAGAGCCTTGGAAGGAAGAGACCAATAGCACAGGCGATGGGGGGAAGGAATGTTGGGTCCAAAAAGGGAAGATTCGGTAGGTGGGGGAAGGAAGGGGAAGGCACAAGAACAGAGCAGCATTGGAGAAATGGACGTACTGTTGATGCTGGTGCGGTTGAGAGCGGTGCTGTGGCGCCCTGCACAATGGGTGTGTCTGGTCGACCCGCTGCTATGCACTGGAAGAGAGTGGGGACGGAAAACAGCGAGAAGCGGGATGGGATGGCAGGCAGGAAAGGGGGGACGCGGGGAGGGGGGGGGAGGAGTGGCGTGGAAAGGGGAGGGGGGAAAGAGGAGAGGGAAGAAGGGGAAAGAGGAAGGGAACTAGGAGACGTTGTGGAGAGATGGGGACGGAACGAATCTGTGGGGCGGAGAAGAGAAAACTAGAATTGAAATGCCTTCAGGTGGATTAAAAGGTAATTTTGTGTGCAAGGTATACACAAATGACGAAAAAAGAGGGTTCAATAGCAGATGTTAGGACGAGAAATTCGATAAGAGGAGACACAGTGCACCCACCAGGCCTCGAGCGTTGCGTGTGGCAGCTTCACACGTCACATAGTGGCTGAATGACGTGGCAATACCGAGCACACGAATGGACGGGCATTTTAAAGCGGCGAGGATGGCCAAAGCGTCGTCTGGATGGCGAGAGAAGGAAACGGAAGCGTGGAGGGTGAGGGACGAGGCTGACAATATTTAAGTCATGAAATGAATCGTGAGGTGAGGAGTCGTCTTGATGGCGGATGGGAGGCGCGGAGAAGAGAAAGGCGAAGAAAGGATGTGTGAGGGTAGGAAGAAGATGATTGCAGCAAATAATGTTTTCTCCTCCAGTTTGTCTCAGAGTACAATATCCACGAAGACAGAAAATACGCCGCGACTATCTATTGACGATAGCGGCGAGTCGTGGCGAAAGCGAAACAGGCCTGCTGTGCCTTATCTAACCACATGAAAGGTGACGGTGATAGAGACGCTGAGCTGACCCACCTATGCCTGGTGACGCGTTGATGATAACATCGACTGGAGCAGGCGCATCTGGCGCCATGGGGTATCTAGATACTAGATGAAGGTGTGACTGACAGGAGGCTGTGAAGTTCATTATTTGGTTGCTGGACCAATTTAGCTTTTGCGATGAGCCGTTGGTATCGTCGTCGAGTCGCAAACGAACTGGTTACACGAGACCAGAAGCGAAAATATCAGGGAAGCGAAAGCTAGCGAAACTACGGCAGTGAATCGCAGCGACACCAGCACAACAAAGACCAGCGCAGCAGAATCCACCCAGCACGAACAGTCACAGGAGGGCCACCACCACCCTACACCACAACTTGTTCAGAAGAGCCGACCCGACCCGAGCCGAGCTGCGAGGTTCCCCAAACGGTCATCCACCAGCACCACACCAACTGTCACAAACGATAAAGCAAGCTCCCTTCATATCCAGCCTTCATCGCGTTCTACTCCATTACTCATGACTCAAGTTTCTCAATCCTTCCAAGTTTATCATAGCTAGCAGCAACTGCGATCAGCTCTAGTTTCTCTAGTTCTGTAGTTTTATCGTAGCTCGCTGCAACGTGCGAGCAATGTCTCAAGCTGGAACTGATCCATCGTCCCGAACCCTGGTCTCGCGTCCCCGTAGCATCAAGAAGCGAGTGTCGTTAAACCAGTTACCGTGCGAACTCATTTGCCTCATCTTCCGTTGTTTGAACAAGCAGTCACCCAGCTACTTCAATCACGCTTTGGTCTGTAAACGATGGAATCGCCTCGCTTACCTTGCACAGACGTCCATCGCCAACAGTCCGCCTCGCGTTACTGCAAATGCCGACCTTCTGACATCCCTTTCTCAGTTCAGAAATCTGTCTTCTCTCACGATCAACAAGTGCGTTCTAGATCCAGATAATGACGACTTTTTTCACGACCTAGGATCTTTCTGTCCCAGGTTAACTCATCTTGACCTGAGCAACGTTTGTACTATAGGGTTCACGTATGAAGGTGCAGATGCCCTCTTTACAAGCTGCACTGCGTTGAAGTACCTTTCGCTTACCATCACGACGGCTGACGACGAAGACACTTGTGATATGCCACCATCGTTCTTCAACCTTTTATCCCTGACGGAGGCCTATCCGAACGTCAACTTCAACAAATATCCTGATAGATTCGGCGATTTAACTTCCTTGACCAAGTTGACACTCGCCACCGTGTGGATTAACGACCTCCCGGATTCACTCGGTCACTTGGGATGCCTCCTTTTCGCAGCTGTCACCTGCCGCCCGGACCTATCGTACTCTGCAAGTCAGCTCGCCACCTACCTCAAGAAGCCTGAAGCGGAACATCTGGCGGAGCTCGACCGCGCTCTTCACTACCTCGTCAGCACCCCGACGATCGGCCTAACTTACTACAAGAACGCAACTACACCGCCTCAGTTAATCGGCTACGTCGACGCCTATCACGCTGGCGACTCCGACAACAGGCGCTCCCGCACCGGTTACGTCTACCGCCTCGAACCTATCGGACCTATCTCTTGGCAGTCGAGCAAGCAGGAATTAATCGCCCTCTCGTCAGCTGAAGCAGAATATATTGCACTCTGTTCAGACACCAAGGAAGGACTTTACCTTCGCGAACTGCTGGAAGAAGCGAAGCTGGCTCAGTTACCCAGCTTCACTCTGTTCTGCGACAACCAGTCGGCAATTCGCATCGCCAACAAGAACGACTTCGCGAACAGGACGAAACATATCGCCCTGCGATATTTCTTCGTGAAGGACGAGATCGAGAAAGGGAGGCTCGAGCTGTCATACTGCCCTACGTCCGAGATGGCAGCTGACTACTTGACCAAGAAGCTCGGAAAGCAGAAGTTCGAGTACTGCATGCTGCTGACTGGACAGAGCCACGTCACCAGCAGCGACACTCCAGAAGCGAAGGGGAGTGTTGGAAACAATCGATCTTAAGCGCCTCTGTCGTGTCGAAACACTAAGGCACAAACGAAGCGAAGCATATCAAAGCACCGGCGAGTCAACCCTCGGAGGTTGAAATGAACTGTTGGAGGTTACACGAAAGTCAAAGGTCAGTGACCTTTGACTTGACAAAGTACAGCGCGACAGCAAGGACACACAACTGACTCGCTACAGAGCAGTTGCCCGAGTCGTCACTGTATCGAACCGCAACAGCAACAGTAAAACAGTTATAACTGTACCCCTTCATATCCCTTGTACTCTTATATAATCTTGTATCTCTTTGTTTTAATCAATCTACTTTGCCCTCACATACTAGCGCAAGGTGGTTCACAACTCTTCATTTAACGCTTCCGCCATTACATTAGTCCTACCCAGAGTTCACCCCTGCAAAGATCCTAAGGGCTTTCTCAGCCCAACACTCTAAAACATGCAAGCACTGTGCCATGACAACACAGCTACCAAGTTCGTGCAACAAGAGCCGGTACTACCACTACGCCTCTCCCACTGGCAATCTTCAAGCGCTTGGCTGTGCGGACCCTGGCAGGCACAGAGAGCACTTCTGCTGGGGCCGCGGCTTGTCTTGTGCCGCCAGTGCATCTGTGCCCACGTGCAATGGTTGGTCAAAGCAGTGGGCGGAGAGGTGAAGGCCAGGGCAAGGGAAGGGGGTGTGACAGGGAGGCGGATGAGGTGGAGTGGGGAGTGAGTGAGGCAAAGCTGACTGACCAACAACTGGGCTGGCACAATCTCAGGAGGACATGTTAAGAGGCAGAGGAAATGGCTTTGGCCACGTGCAGAACTGCCTGTTGGCCCTTTGGCCTTCTGGCCTTGAACACATTAGACGGTGTTGGGAGGCAAGTCCATTTTGCTCTAACTGTTGAGCCTAATCTGCAGCACATGGGATGATGACATGACAACTACGATGGTGGCATATGGAGCTATGAAATGGCATATGGGATGATGATGACATGGCATGTGGGATGATGACATGGCATGTGAGATGATGGCATGGCTCATGGGATAATGACATGGCACATGCTACCCCGCTCCACTCATTAAACAAAAAGCACTTCTCCCTCCTTCAGTCATGCAACCAACTCTTCTCCTACCCCCTCACCTCCTTGCATCTCCTACCCCTCACCTCCTTGCATCACCTACCTCTCTCCTCTGTCAACCTCACCAACATGGGAAGGTGCGAGTATGGGAGCGAGCATGGGAGCGAGCGTGGGAGCGAGCGTGGGAGCGAGCATGGGAGGTGCGAACACGGGAGGTGCGAGCATGGGAGGTGCGAACATGGGAGGTGCGAGCATGGGAGGTGCGAACATGGGAGGTGCGAACATGTGAGCCGATGCAAAGCATGCAATGCCAGTTGAAATCTCAGTAGCAGGTGTGCCATCTCCCTCTGACAGGGCTGGAAGAAGTGCCACCCGCGTGCCATCCATCCATCCACTGCCTCCACTCCATGACACTCGCCTTGCCCTTTCCCATGCCTGGTTGGTTTTAGACATGGAAATTCAACTGAAAGTAAGCACAGAGGAAAGGGTTGGGGTGGAAGAGGGGGGTGGAGGGGGGGGGGGGGGGGGGGTGGATGAGAGGGGAAAGAACTATGGGACACACACAAATGCATCGTCTATGCTTGTTTCTCCTGACAAACATGCAGTTGCTTCGGAAAGCTGTATTGCCGTCTCCCTCACACTATACCTCTCTCATCCTTGACGTGTTGTTTCCTCATGCTCATGTTATCCCTTCCGCATTTATACTGCCATGCTGCCGTTATCATGCTCCCACGCACTGTCGCCATTCAATTCAGATGGCAGCCACGTCAGACACGAGGGAGGGACATTAGATAAGGGAGGGACATTAGCAGAGCAATGACAGGGAGTTCTGGAGGGCGAGCAGCACAGCAAGGCCAGGGAGATGAGAGAAGTGAGGGGGGGAGGGGGAGGGGTGAGGGAGTGGGGAGGGAGGGGAGGAAGGGGAGGGAGAGGAGGGAGGGAGGGGAGGGAGGGGAGGGAGGAGAGGGAGGGGAGGGAGGGGAGGGAGAGGAGGGAGGGGAGGGAGGGGAGGGATGGGAGGGAGAAAAGAGAGGGGAAGGAGGGGAGGGATGGGAGGAGGGTATGAGGTGCATGGAAACAAGGGTCAAGCACTTCTGCAAGCACTTGCCGGGCGAGGTTGGTCATGGGCCTGAACTGAACGATGCTGGTCTGCCCGGCACGCATCCACTCCCAAGCCCTCCGCTCCGCCCCCTTCTCTGCTGCTCCACTCAATCGCCAGCTACCCCCCCCCACCCCCCCCCTCCCCCCCCTCCCCCCCTCCTCCCCCCTCCTCCCACTTCCATCCCTGCTACTAGCAGCAGCGATATGAGTAAAGCTGGGGAGCCAGTGCCGCCAGTGGCGGGTTCAGCACGTGGGGTTGCGGTAGTGCAGGCAGCAGCGCTCCAGCAAGTGGGATTGCAGGTAGTGCAGGCAGCACAGCAGCGCTCCTGCTAGCCCGTCTGCGTTCAGAAAGGAGGAGCACGCAGGCAGAGAGGGAGCGCTGGGAGTGCCTTGAAAGGAAGCGGCAGCACATGTGTTGGAACAAAGGAGGATTTGGTACAAGTTCAAGGAAAGGAAAGGAGCAAGAAAGTAACTTTAAGAATCCTAAACGAAAGGCATGGTTGCAGGGGCATGGAGATTTGGTAGGGAAGTGGGGGGGAAAAGGAAGGCGCAAGAGTGAAGAGGCAACAGAACAACAGACGTGTCTGGGCGACCTGCTGCTATGCACTAGAAGAGAGGGAACGAGGGAAGGGGGAGAAGCGCTGGTGAATAAAAAAGCACCACGTCATTGAAATGAAGGGGCTACAGATACCTAAACCACAGATGTTCCACAAACAAACACATGAGAATCTTTCAGCAAAGAGTGAGGATCCTTATAGAAGAGGAGGCACCCACTAGGCCTCCGATCGTTGCGTGTGGCAGCTTCACAAATGGCATAGTGCACAAGTGACATAGTGGCCGAATGATGTGGCAATACCGAGCGCACGAATGGATGGGCACTTCAACGCTGTCGTCTGGATAGCGGTGGGGAGAGGAAACGGAGAGGAGGGACGGGAGGAGGAGAGGAGGGAGGGGAAGCGGAGAGGAGGGAGGGAGAAGAACTGGCGAGGAGGAAGGGAGGGGAAACGGAGAGGAGTGAGGGATGAGGACAGGATGGCAAATGAAGGTGAGAAAATCAACAAGATGATAAACTCCTTGGAGGATGGCAATAAGCCTACCGACCAGCGAAAGAAGAGGGGAAGACGGGGGAAGAAGACTCGCTGCGACGAAAGAACCTCTCAAAGGGCAGATTTGGCACTCTACATAAGGCATGAACGGGAGCTTCGCAACCTCTGATTGAACGTTTCATTTTTATCGTCGTTTATTTCGAGGTGACATGATATACACCGTTATTGCGCTATACACCGCTATTGCGCTATACACCGTTATTGTGCATGAAGAGGACCGTTGATTCAACATTCTCTATGACGAGCAGGCGCGAGTTGAAGCGGAGGTGAAAATTAGGCCTGCTACTTGATCGATATTTACCACATCAATCCACGACAATGCACTGACCCACCTTTGCCTAGAGACGCGCTAATTATTGCATCGATCGGAGCACGCGCGGCTGGCGCCATGAGGAACTTAAAATGCGAGCATTTACAGTACAGCCGCAGGTGGAGCGGAAAAGAAGCAAATCCAGCGAGACAAATGAGAAGTAATTTTGTTTGATGGTGCGGTGTCACGAATTGGATCCAGGATTTCGCATTTCGAGTTGACGAAGGATTGAATCTGTCGCTCGTGTTACATTGACCCGAGGCTGGGTGCACCTGGATCAGATATAATTTCGCAAAAGGATCTCGGCATCAGAATTCGAGGTAACACTCGCAACTCAACGACTCCTCTTTCGGAAGTGAGTTCGCTCGACGAACGTTCCCCACCGCGAGAAGAACGAAATCGAGGCAGCGAAAACATAGGCAGCGAAATTATGGAAGCAAACGAGCGGAACCTATACGGCAGAGGAACCAAGGCGTCAGATCCACAAACTCAGAACTGGTGCTTGCAAGCCTAGGCATAGCTATTGCTGAGCCAGATTTACCTTGATTCAGCCTCTATTATCCCTCTAGTTCACAGCGCGCTCTACTTAACCATTCGCTTTAGTTAGCCATTCGCTCCAGTTTACCTTAGTTCGCAGCAACGTCCGAAACGGCTATAGTTTCGCCGATTTAGTTTACCGTATCTCGTCGCAATGTCTCAAGTTAAAACAGATCCATCGTCACTAACCCCCGTCCCGCGTCCCCATAGATTCAGCGTGTCTTTTAATCGGCTACCGCGCGAGCTCATCTGCCTCATCTTCCGTTGTTTGAACAAGCAATCACCCAGCTATTTCAGTCACGCGCTGGTCTGTAAACGTTGGAATCGCCTCGCTTACCTTGCACAGACGTCCATTGCCAACAGTCGAACTCGCCTTACTGCAGATGCTGCCCTTCTGGACTCGCTTTCCCGGTTCAGACACCTGACTTCTCTCACGATCGACGAGTGCGTTCTCGACACGGACAATGATGAGTTTCTTTCCGACCTAGGGACGGTCTGTCCCAGGTTAACTTATCTTGATCTGGACAACGGTTATAGACAAGCCTTAACGTATGAAGGTGCAGATAGCCTCTTCAGGGGCTGCACTTCTTTGCAGTACCTCTCGCTTACCATGAAGACAGCTTACGAAGAAAGTTGTGATTTGCCACCGTCTTTCTTCGGCCTTTCATCCTTGACGGAGGTCAATCTGATGGTAAATTTCGATGAAATTCCCGATAGATTCGACAAGCTGAAGTCCCTGAGAAAGCTGACACTCGCCACTCTGTGGAGCGACGAGCTCCCAGAATCACTCGGCCAGCTCACCTGGCTGACCGAGCTGAAGTTGTTCAGAATTAACGCATCGCTCGAACGCCTACCTGACTCCCTTCATGGGCTGAAGTCCCTGGTCAAGCTCACCGTTCGTGAGATGGACGAATTGAGAGCTCTTCCTGACACCATCGGCCAGCTTCCGAACCTCCGTGAGGCTTATATACATGAAAACATGGCCCTAGAACTCCCAGATTCCTTTTTCCATCTTCCCTCCTTACAAGTCCTTGAGATCGTGTATTGTGAAAGGGTTGCATCCCTCCCAGCAACGGTGTCAGGCCTTGTTTCTCTCAAGACGTTAATAATCAGGAACTGTGATAGCCTCCGCACGATCTCTGATTCCTTCTGCAATCTCTCTAACCTCCACGTGCTGGTTCTTAAGAATTGCACACAGCTCGGGGAGCTTCCAGAGAGGATGGATCGCCTGTCGTCGCTGGAGCACCTCGAATTGAGCCAGCTCAGTCGTCTTTCTTACATTCCAGATGCAATTTCTCGGCTATGCAATCTCCGCACGTTCTCCTTCACCTACTGCGATGATGTTGTCAATGTCCCTCCATCCCTGACTCAGCATTGGAGCAATCTCACGTCTTTTGCGTTTGGTTGGCCAGCCAGCTGTATGAGTAGCCGCGAGCATCAAGAGGCCTTCACGTCGTTGCTTTGCCACCTATCAAATCTGACGTCTCTCGTCGTGATGGGCTTTCCGGACCTGAATATGACTCCGTACGAGATTGGGAATCTTCAACAGCTGCAGCGGCTGACTTTAAGTAACTGGCCTCAGCTAATCGACTTGTCCGAGTCCGTGAGCAGACTCACCAGGCTCAGGACTCTCGTGATCACTGCGTGTCCACGCTTTGAGGATGAGGAAAGGGAGACAATCTACTGGATTCCAAACCTGGACAGCGGATGTGTTGATGGCCGAGTGCTGGGAAAGGGATCATTTGCGCAAAAGGGAAGGGACAGGTTGAGGATAAGTGGGTAGGTTGAGTGGGGAAGGGTCCTAAGACATTTGGATATGCTGGACTTGTTGTACGGTATTGGTGATTGCCACAAGGGGCGTACTGTGGCATAGTATGGTTTGGTGATTTCTCAACATACGGTATTGTTCAGCGTTAAAGCAAATACGGTACCCAAATATGTGCAACAATAACTCCAAGTTTGCCATTCCTCACCAATTGGCTGCAGCTTCTCTGGTAGGCACTTCCACTGGAGACACTGGCTGGCAGCTATTCACAACACAATCTGAAAGGCCACTTAGAAAGCATGCTTGGACACGTTCCAGACTCTATTCGGGCGATTCGTGAATAATTAGTAGGTATCATATCATGACTGTGGCAATGCACCAGGGCCCCATTTGGCATGAAGGGAACTGGAGCATCTATGGCAGGCAGCAGTGCCTGCACCTGCATCCATGCTGCCTTGCTGCTGCATCCGTGCTGACCCCTTCCAAGCAGCTCATACGCTGCCAGGCCCCACAGGCTGCTACCCGTGCCTCCTTCCACCTATACATCCTGGTGTCGGCATCTGCTTGTGCCGCCAGTGCATCTGTGCCCCTGTGCCATGGTTGGTCAGTGCAGTGAGCGGAGAGGGCAAGGCAGAGGTGAGGGGAAGGTGGTGTGACAGGAAGGCGGATGAGGTGGGGTGGGGAGTGAGTGGGGCAAAGCTGACCGACCAACTGATGGGCTGGCACAAGCTCAGGAGAACATGTTTCTAGGTAGGGGAAATGGCTTTGGTGCAGAACTGCCTAATGGCCCATTGGCCTTGAGCACATTAGACGGTGTTTAGAGTCGCATATGGGAGGATGGCATGGCATATGAGATGGTGATGTGGCATACGGGGTGATGACTTGGCATACTGGGTGATGACATGTCATACGAGATGATGACATGGCACATGGTACCTAGCTCCAAGAAAAAAATCACAATGTCCTCCTCCTTTCTTTAGTCATGAAACAACTTCCTCACCTACCTCTCCCCTCCCCCAACCTTACCAGCATGTGTGAGCATGTAAGCCAATGCATACCATGCCATGCCAGTTGCATCTCCCTCTGACAGGCTGGAAAGAGTGCCACCGTATGCCATCCATCCATCCACTGTCTTCACTTCATGAAACTCGCCTTGTACATGCCCATGCTTGGTTTAGACAAGGAAAGTTCGGCTGGAGGAAAGCATGGAGAATGGAGGGGAGGGGAATGGGTGAGAGGGGAAACTGTTATGGACCGCACACAAGTGCATGTGCGTTTCCCCTTGACACTTCATCTTTCTCATTGT